TCAGCTCGGATCAACCTACTTTAATCATGGAAATGAATGTCTAGAGCGGGGGCATCGTTCCCATGCAGTGGATCTCGCAACAATGATGATTGGATAAAAGTGGCCGTTAGCTAGCAATACATGCCTTTTCCTAGATTACCCATAAAGTAATTATACATTGACCCTTTCATTCATGCAAACGTAGCTGTGTTACACAACACGACCCTCTGCATCTTTGGCTCTGCCAGGGTCCACCTACTTGACAATGTACAAAGACCACTTCTCATATAGCATCACGCTTACAAACATAAAGGTGCCTGTATCTCCAAACTTTACAATGAAACGTGGGGTTTTGAATAGAGCAATGTGCTCGGCTTGGCCAACAGCACCTTGTGTGAAAGTTTCGCGTTCAATGTCGCAAACAGCCCAAAAGATATTTTTTGGTCGTCGTCGTCGAAGTGGTCGACCCCCAGATCCAGTTTGGCTGGTAGCGACATTGCGAAATCTGGGAATGGCCACGATCGACTTCATAGTTTGACACAAGATCGCTTTCACCCCGCCGAGCAGCTTTGTTCTATTAAAGACCCCACGTTTGATTGTAAAGTTAAGAGATATAGGCACCTTTATGTGTTACATATGCTGTAAGCGTGAAGCTATATGAAAATAGGTCTTTGTTCATTGTCAAGTAGTATGACTATAATAGAGCCAAAGATGCAGAGGTGCGTGTTGTGTAACTTGAGTCAGTAAGCACGGGCGATGCATGATACTTGTACACTATTTATGTATAGTTCCTAAAGCCAGCTAATAACCTAGTCCTTCCATTCTCCATTGTTGCCCAACCCAATGCATGTGAACGATTGTTCTGCTCCAGCTCATCATTTCCATCATTAAACTTTCTTGATCCGAGTGGATTTGACTGAAAAATGCTCACACACAGAAGTATCATCCAAAATCAGAGAAATTAATTTGAATGATTATATGTAAACTGCTACTTGATAGCCCATTCCTTCCATTCACCTTTGTTGTCCAATCCATGCATACGAACGATTGTCCTGCTCCAGCCCATCATCTCCATCCTTCAACTTTCATGATCCGAGAGGATTTGGTTGAGTTACGCTCAAACACAAAACATCATCCAAGTTCACAAGGATCATTTTGCAAAGTTATTTGTAAACTGCCACTTGATAGCCCATTCATCCCATTCACCTTTATTGGCCAAAACCAATGCATGCAAACGATTGTCCTGCTCCAGCTCATCATGCTCATCCTTCAACTTTCTTGATCCAAGGGGATTTGACTGAACAACACTCAAACACCAAAGTGGCATCCAAGCAACAGAAAAGTCTACTTAATTTCCAGGTCTTCCGCTCCCAACGTATTTGCCTCTTCTTACCAATGTCAACTGTTCCCCCATTCAAGTACAATCACCACCTGCGAACGATTGTCATGCTTCAGCCCATCATCTCAAGCATACGATTACCTTGATCCGTTTGTCTTTGATTGAATGGCAAGTGCATTGCGTGTACACAGCCTTCTTGTCACTCTTCTTCAACACACGAGTCTCTTGACACAACGCGCTCTCTTGTTCACTCCTCTACCGCAATCAAACGTAACAGCATTCATTCCAGCAGCTTCTATTAGCAAGGTCTTTACTCTATTGCCTCAAACAGCGTTCACTGTCTTGTCACTCTACTACAATACATGCTCTTGCACATCCTGCCACGATCACACGCTGCAGCTGCTGTTATCAGCGAAGTCTTTACTGCATTGCCTCCAACAGCGTTCTTTACTTGCAGCATCCTGCCTTCCAGCTTTTTTCACGCGAACAGCAGATAGCCATTGTATAGAAACAGCTTTATTTACGCGTAGCAACTTGCATGAATATACAAACAAATTCCCATGATGGATATGGATCTGAATATTGGTTTGGTACATGGGAGGGAGGGAATTGGGTAAACTGACCGGGTTGGATGCCATATCGGGCATCAAGCAATGCAAGCCATTTTCACATGGTTGAGCTTCGATGATAATGGTCAAGAAAGTGATTGACAACAGCAGGATGGGAAAGGATGCATGTCAGCAGCGATCACATGATGGCTCTTTCCAATTAACGTATTGGATGGTTATGGAAGGATGGATTCAATCAAGTGCAGTGAAATGATTAGAAGTCCTGGAATAATGACCGTGCATATACAGTCTATCATGGATGAATACCCTGAAAAAGGATGAATGGAAGCTTTTGCACTGGGCCGTTGTAGGGCGTGCACGTGTATACATAGCCATGTTGAAAAGACTCAATAACAAAGTAAGTAGGGTGAGTGCACCTTGAAGCATTTGACTTTTTCTCTTCGCCCAAGCACGCCTTTATACCAATCAACCACAATGCAGTTTATATCCATGTACAATCGCAAAGCTAGCTTCATTGCTTTATTGACACATTCAAGGCGAAGAGAAAGTGGGGATGATGGGAAGCAAAGCAAAGGAAAGTGGGAGGAGGGATTACATCAGCGTATTCCAATATTGTAGCACTTTGGATGAAAGAATGGACGCGATCTTTCGAGCTTTCAGTATCCTTACACAAAAAAAAAAGTACCGTGGTTGCCAATATGTAGCTTGCCCAATCTCGAGACCAAGGTTGCCAGCAAAACGATCCCTCCGCTCCTCTCGACGTTCTGAAACGTTGTAAAGGAATTCATACTTACTATCTACGCCATACCTAAATCGTCCATAAAGGATCTTGCTGTGCACCAACTAGGGTAACTTCGTCATGTTGTTATGGTGTTGTTGTCACTGAAGTACAAGTAAAGAGATGGCTTGATGGAATGAACGACCTATGAATGCGCATGTTGCTAACTTATCTTTGGGATAATGGGAACAATACTTAGTCAAAGCCATATGGAAATATATACTGCTTGATGTTATCCAACACCCAAAGCGGGTTTCCTTGCTGCAGAGATGCGAATACAATAAACGATTGCTGATAGTCGTTTTTCGGAGGAAGGAATGTTGCTTGATGACGGCTGCCTTGGGCAATCGATATACCTTGATAACACCAAAAGACATACACATTGTATCTTGTCGCTGATGTGACACACCCATAAGCGACGTGCGCTGCAGGATACTCTTGCTGATAGTAATTGGCCAATAATGTGAACCACCAGAAATTGGAGTAAGAGTTGTTGACATTAAAGGTATGGACTCTGTTGCTCATTGCTGCTGCTTCTTGTGCTTGTTGCTGATATGATCCACCGATAACAGGCATGCGTAGCAGGTAATCCATCGAAAGGATTGTCGACAACTAGGGCCGCAATCAGACTAGATAAAGGTTGGAGACACCGAAAGATATAAAAGTTGTTGCTTGTTGCTGCAGATGTACGTAAAAGGAAATGACCAGTACTTGGTAACTAGAACTATCCAGCGATGTAATAGGCCGATTGATTGAAAGATGCTATAGACGTCGTTCCTTGATCCTGGCATGATTCACCTATAAAGATGCTCGTTAGACAATTTTCCAAACCCATACGACGACGATACTTAACTATGATAGCTGCATCCATGAGAACTCCAAAGGACCACGAGACGAGTAGCTTGCTGAATAGCCCACATGCTATGAAAAAATGGGAAGGAAGTTGGTATGCAGTTGTAGAAAAGAATCATCATTTACCAATGATAACATGCAGCACAAAAACGTGCCGACATCCAAATCAAGCCGTTACTTTGCAATGGTCCGCTTGAAAAGGCACTCTACGTTGGCGCTCAGCTTTGAAGCGATGGAACGATCTTGGTAGTCATATGCAGTGAGAAGGTCAAGTAATGTTGTCACCACGAAATATAGCATACTTACATGGTGAAGAGGAGTCGATACAAAGATGCTGGCGATCACTTTTCAAAGAATAGAACCGTACCCGATAGCCATAACCACATGGAAGACAATTAAGCATGGTGTCACCCAAAAGCTTTGCTTCAGAGGAGTCCATACAAAGGCGAATGTGGGTGTACAATCGTTTTGCAAGGAAATGGAACAATGCTGGATAACCGAAATCATATCAAAGCCGAATAAGAATGATGCCACACAAAGGCATGTGCCCAGATGCTTGTTGCTGATACAGTACGATCCATTGTAAGAGACGTGAGCTGGCAGATGTCCATCAAGCGAGTTGCTGATAACGAGGACCACATGACGAAATAAAGATGTTGGAACCAAAAATATGATTGTTGCTCTTCGCTGTTGATACAATAACATCCTTGACATGACAATAATATAGCCGAGGAAAAGCCTTCTTGATCCTGGCATTCCATACCTTCCATTGTAAGTGCACTTGCATGCGACACATCCCATAATGAATACTCTTACCTTGCGGTACTTCCCAATAGCATCCTTCCTTCAAATAAGAAACGGGTCTCCATGCCAACCGCTTTCCATGACAACCATACCATGCTGCTGCTGTTCCATTGTAAGGCTTGTTAATTGATAGCACTTGTATTGTCGATCCAATGCTATGCATACCAATGAATCTCCAAAGAAAAGAAGCTTTACTTGACGACGAATGCCTTGAGCGATGGATAAGCCTTGACAGCACCAAAGTGACATGTGACATTGTTACTTGTTGCTGATGTGATACACCCATAAGAGACATGCGCTGTTGAATGTTCTTGAAATCAATTGGGCAATAACGAGAACCACCAGAGAATCGAGTAAATGTTGCCGACACTAGAGATATCATAGGCTCAGTTGCTGATTGCTGCTTCGTGGTTGTGCTGATATGATCCACCGGTAACAGGCATGCGTAGTGGATATCCTCAAAGGATTGGCGTCAACCTTGGACAGACGCATAGATGACCTTGGTATCACTAAAGATGTCTACGCTTGCTCTCATTGCTTGTTGATGACATGATCCACCCATAAGAGACGTTTAATGGCAGCCGTGCATTAAAGGGATTGCAAATAACCAGAACCACCAGGATATGGAACTCCTTGCTGCTGACGTGATCAATTGATAAGATATCTTCATTTCAGGATGTCCACCAACGTACCAAAACGAGAAGCACCGGATGATGGAATAAAGCTTGATATGACACCAACGATATAGATGTTGTTGTTTGTTGCTGATACAATCCACTCATAAATAACGTGCATTGGCTGACATTCTCCAGAGAAATCGCTCGTTGCCTGGTAACCAACCACCCGAGACTCAATAAAGGTTGATGCCACCCAAAGGTATAAATAGTCTTCCCCATAGCTGACATGATCCACCTATAAAAGATGCACCATGAGTAATTTTCCAAACCCATCCGATAATACTTAGCAATCATAGCTGTGACCTTTTAAACTTCAACAAGACACCAAAAGACAAGTAAATCTCTGCTGTAGACCACAACTGTAATACAATAACACATTAGTAGGTACATGAAACAATGGGAAGAACACTTACCAACATCAACCATAGGGTATTCAAATAAACTCGAGCCCAGCAATCCCACGTTGCGCGTTGTAAGATAATCTACCTCGATAAGACACACAACCGTTTTACATAGCACTAGAACGATACTTACCAATGGTGACGGCAATGATAGCATGGTATAATACTTGGCCATAAATATCATCTGCTTGCATTGGTCCCTCTAGATGTAATAGCAGGCGTTTCAGCAGAGTTTTCCCTAAAAGCATCAGAATCATACATACCAGAACCTCACCGATCACGCAGACTTGACTTAGGTGGGCCATCCGAGTGCAATGTAATAATAAAATACCACGCCAAGGAATGTCACAGTACCAGTACTCTCCTCTAGCTCACTCCCAAAGGACGTGGATCAAAACACCAGATTTACCAGAGACCATGAGCCCTTCACCAGCCGACTTTGACACCACAATGAGCCGTGGATCCCACATGTTGCGCGTCAATAGAGATACCCATCTTATCTCTAAAGGCGAGGAAATCAATAGCCATAGAACGATGGAGCCGTGCGAACAGAGGATGCATATTTAAACCCTGAGGTAGCAACTTGAGTCGCACTGTTTCCGCTAGCGCAACATGATGGTCTCCCCTGGAGAGTACAGTACAATGACATCCTTGGCGTGCTGTTTGACAATAATAATAGCCGAAAGCGAGCCTATTGCTTTCATCAGTCCACTTGAAGGCGACAAATCCTCAAATGATCACTTTTACCTTGGATATTGCTCAATAGCGTTCATAGCTTCCAATAACCGCATTCCATCCATAATGTACTTCTGCTGCTGTTTCATTCTAAAGATCGTTAATTAATAGGGCTTGCTTTGTAGATCCAATACCATGCATACCATTGAGCCAACGTACAGCGTTCTTGCTTTGATATCAATGTCTTGTTGCTGCCAGAGGTACCATCATCCAACGTATTCAAGCTACAGTAAATGTAATGTAAGATAACAAGGATAGCATTCAAAAAGCATGAAAGTCATACATACCTGAATCACGCAATCATCACCCGCAGACTTGGGATCCAAATAGGCCATCAGGATGTAAAGTAATAATCAAAGCGCACAGCCAAAGAAACATCATTGTACCGGTACTCTCCTGTGGATCGACGCGATGAAGTGCATCAATAGAGATACCCATCTTCTCTCTAAAGGCAAGGAGATCAATAGCCGTAAAACGATGGAGCCGTGCGAACAGAGGATGCATTTTTAAATCCTTGAGGCCGCAACATGAGTCGCACTGTCCCCGGGCACAACATGTAGAGCTCCACAGGAAAGTGTAGTACAATGACATCCTTGACGTGCAGCCGTGATAATAATAGTATCGCCGAAAGAGGCTTTGCCACTGTATGGTGTATGGTAAGTTCACTTGAATCCAATCAATCCCACAATGAACCTCTTACCTTATGGTATTCCTCAATAGTATCATTGCCTCAAATAAAACCGTATCTCCATGTCATCCATATTGTCTTGCTGCTGTTTCACTGTAAGTCTCGTTAATTCACAGGTTTGGCTTTGTAGATCCAATACCACGCATACCATTGAGCCAACCATACAGCATTCTTGCTTTGAGATCCGTATCCTGTTGCTGCCAGAGATACCACCATCCAACATGTTCACCTACCATAAACGCAATGTGAGATAAGAAGCAAACCCAATCCACACGCTTTTGTTGTCAACATACCCAAAAGAGGCAATGTAACGACGTCTTGAGAACTCTCATTGTGGGCAACTCGGTAAGGAAGACACTCGACGCCGTGAACCATGGTGATCACAAGGAATTGCAACCAAATACACCATCCGAA